AAGAGGAACAGCGTCCGGTACTATTTTTGAAAAGCGCCCGAACCACTATTTTGCTAATTCTTGTCACCTCAATGGGAATATGCAGCAATATTAGCTTCTATAGGGAGCAAATGGACCTCCCAAATCCAAAAATACAATCAGATTTCAAAAATTTAAATTTTGATTTTTCGAATTTCTGCCGCCGACTGTGACCTTGCCGACTTCCGGCGCTCCCAACGCGCCATTTTTAGAGCTAGGGAAACGAAATACATACCAAACGATAGAGATTTGATCAAGGAACACGATAGTGAAGATTTCAAGTCGATATCTCCCACCGTTTTGCCGCAATCGCCGCGGAAAGTTGAAAAAGTTTGATTTTTTTCGGAAAATTTGACCTTTGACCGGTCATAAGTAGGTCAAATGTTGACCTAGGACCAAAAAATATACCACCAATCGCGAGATCTCGTTGAGAGCAATCCGTTGAATTTTTCCGCAAGCTCTACGACCTTCCGTTTCGAAACGCCAGGGGGGGGGTCGTAACAACCCCCCCTGGTCGTTCGTGTTATGAGAAATGGCCTGGTCGTGCGAGGGTTAAAGGCTAGTCTTGGGACTAGAGAGACAGAAATGATGCCACCAGAGGCCGGCGTGAGGCTATCAGACGCCGGTTGGGCTCCTGAGTCCAGTTTAGGGGCCCTTAACCCGCGCCCCGCTGGGGGGGGGGGCAGAATCTGCCCCCCTCCCGTTTTTCGCCAATAACTTCTAAACGCGTTACGCCAGCGACGTCAAACTTTCAGTACCTTATCATACATCGATTTGACACGTTCCCTGACAATTTGAGCGAAATCCGTCGGAAAATTTTTGAGAAATTGACGTTTTAGTGACGTCATGTTCGCCATTTTCGCCTCAAAAACGGCAAAATTTCAAACGCCGCTTACATCTTCATTTTTTAAGGAATCAAGACGTAACAAAAAAGGTTATACGTGATTCTACTTTGTCTATCAAATGGCTATCTCGGTTTTTTGAAAATTTGAGTGTATCGAAAAAAACGGAATATATGTCGGAGAAGTGGTCTATGTGCACCTACATACCAATTTTTAGAAGAATCGGTTCAAAAATGTGGGAGTTATTCAAAATTTTATGTCGTCACGACAAACAAAAATTTTGAAAAATGATTTTTTTGGAAGTTCTAGACCTCGTACGGAAACCAATATAGCACCATTCGATTCGTCGTGAAAAACTGCATCAGATGGACACCTTTTTAGGCCTTAACAACCAACTTCAAAATTTAACCTTACTTGACCTGACCTTGACCTGACCTCGACCTGAATTTCATCCACAGGTGGTCCATATCACTTATTGAGTGTGCCTATTGAATTCTATGAGTAAAATGACCCATAAAACATGTGTCGCATATGCCCTTTTCTATATTTTGTTTTTGGTGACCTGACCTGACCTGATCTGACCTTGAACTTGACCTTTGAATGACATTGTATGCAACGAATATTGTCTTGGTAGTCTAAGAACACGTTTTGGGCAATCAGTCTCAGTCCATTCTTCGGCAACTACGGTGCAAGGCCGATACTGTAGAAACTTGCATTTTGTACCCTTGACCTGACCTTGACCTGACCTCTGACCTACTTAAGCAAAAAAATTTGGGCTCTTAAGATCCGCCTTGTTAAGAGCTTTCGATTGCCGTTTTTCCCGTCTTTCTACGACCATCGGTTCGGAAGTTAGACGGGGGGGGGGGCAGAATCTGCCCCCCCCCAGCAGGGCGCGTATGGCTGAATAGCCGAGCGGGGCGCGGGTTAAAGGCCAGTGGAGGGCCCTCAGAGGTCAATGTGGGTCCTCAGCGGTCAATGTGGACGCTTGACCGCCACTGAAGGGCTCTCAGAGGTCAGTGTAGGACCCTCAAAGACTGGTATAGGAGCTGTTAATAGCTGGCGTGGGTTTCTCGAGCCTCGTGACAATCGAATACGGGCCAGGGCCCCATACGGCCATGGGGGCCCATCGGTTGTTTGGGGGGGGGGGCAAATGATATGATGCCCCCTGATTTGCCTTTGGGGGGCATGGCCCTGATGCCCCCCCCCCCTGCGACCGCCACTGGAGCCGTCCGCCTTGCATACACCTATGCATTCATATCTCGGCCAACACCGACCAGCTGAGCGCCACACGGACACATTTGGCAGCACATAGACCAGTGCGAAGGAAATCCCCTCCGCTAATACTTTACACATAACAGGCCTAATGAAGAGGGGTCCCGCGCAAGCAACAGGTAAGTATGTGCATAGAGTAAATACAACAAAACTGATCTTTAACATCTAAACATGCTAAAGTATAGCATAAAAGGCATTAAATCCACAAAACCAGTGACTGAAGCCGCCTCTGTCAAGTAAATTGTGCCGTCAAGTGTAAGTGCAATGCGCCCAAATCAAACATGAAAGTGTCTGGAAAGGGCGCATATGCGCTCGGATCATACTGCAGAGTGTCGTTAAATGGCGCAGTGCGCTTTTATCTGACTCGGTAGTGTCGTTTTTAGGCTAAGTGTTTGATAATTGCGCCTGAAGTCGACTCGGGAAAATTATTCAAACAGGTATTTCGAGAAAAATACAATTGTTAAACGCAAAAAAAAAACTGTCGGAATGCGTTTTGCAAACACACCTATCAATTAAAAGTGTTTGGGTCACCTTCAGGTCATTATTTAAAAAAAACTTGTGCACCGAATTCCAGCTCAACATCTAGGTAAGGTATACGACACCCACTCCGTCGTCAGGGCAAAATCCTTCATATGAAAATTCAAGTACATATGGTTGTGAGTATGATGTACCAAATGTATGCATTATGCATCAGAAATGACGAGCGAGAAAATCTCTTTCAAATGAGCATCATTTTTTAAAGATTGGTTGCGAAATAAACGAATGAGAACAGAAAAACGGAAAGTGCTCGACCACTCAGGCTCCAACAGGACTGTTGAATACAGGCGCAATTTGCCCACGATTTGTCGCGAATGAGCGCAGTTTCACCGCATCGTTCTGCATCGCGTTTTTCTCATTTGTGGCGGAATCAAACAGTGTCCTGATACTATCACATATTCCGGGGGGCTAAATTTACCTCTTTTCATTGCAGCGAGCTTCCTAGAATGCATAACTTTGAAGATTTTGCGACATGAAAGAAATGTCGTATTTCAGCGCAGTTTGAGTGTGCAATTTGCGGCAACTGTCGCTTTTAAGCGCTGTCGTTTTATTTTGCGCAAAGTCGAATTCGAGCGCAAAAAAGTCGAATGAGAGTTGAATCGTATTCCCGGCAGTGAATCTGTCTGGTAGGGCCATTTGAAGAAATTGTTTACATTGGTCTATGGAATGCCCCGTTGTCCTGTGAATCCAAGACCATTTTTTGTCCACGATCGATGTGCCATACTTATTATTTTCATGAGCTGATGTATATGTAGCGTACTGATTTCCGTTTGCATACGAAGTAGAAGGCTGATCCTGATGATTTAGCGTAGCTTGATGTACTGTTCTTGTTTTGTTCGTTCGCAATTCGTGTTCGGTATATTCGATTACTCGTTTTTCTCGTAGTAAATAATTTAGGAGTCTTTCAAACATTCCTTTGTAATTTGTGTTGCTTGCATCCAATGAAATGATCCACTCGCGCTTTTGAACGGAAGGGAGTAATTTTTCAATCATATTAGGTCGTTCAATAAGTAACGAACAATCGGTCATAACTTCTTTATTTCCTTATTTAGCACTTTCAAACTTTCACAGATTATAGATCAAATATTTCTGAATGTAGCCTTTGCCTCAAACCAGTCGCCACCCGCCTGCACACACTTCTCCCAGCGTTCCGGCCAACGCCGGAATTCCGCCCGGAAAAACGCGTTTTCCGTCTTTTTCACCCAGTTCTTGACAGCGCACCTGACTTCAGCGTCGGTCTCGAAGTGTTCACCACGGAGGCCATCCTTCAGGGGACCAGAGGTGAAAATCTGAAGGAGCCAGGTTCGGACTGTAGGGCGGCTGGGGCATGATATTCAGCCCTGTCTCGCGATCTCCTCGCGTGTGGCGTGAGACATGTGCGGACGAGCGTTGCATGGTGTCATCCTGGTGGGCTTTCTTGAACCTGGGCGGACTATTGACAGCGGGCCGCTACATCACAGTCCTGCAGGAGACTGAGAAAAGCAATCCTGAAGAAGAGGCGCGGCTCGGATGTCAACAACATCACCATACACCATGACAACGCCCGACCGCACTTGTCTCACGCCACGCGCGAGGAGATCGCGTGACAGGGCTGAATATCATGCCCCAGCCGCCCTACAGTCCGGACCTGGCTCCTTCAGATTTTCACCTCTTTGGTCCCCTGAAGGATGGCCTCCATGGTGAACACTTCGAGACCGACGCTGAAGTCATGTGCGCTGTCATGAACTGGGTGAAAAAGACGGAAAACGCGTTTTTCCGGGCGGAATTCCGGCGTTAGCCGGAACGCTGGGAGAAGTGTGTGCAGGCGGGCAGCGGCTGGTTTGAGGCATAGGCTGCATTCAGAAATGTCTGATCTATAATCTGTGAAAGTTTGAAAGTGTTAAATAAAGAAATAAAGAAGTTATGACCGATTGTTCGTTACTTATTGAACGACCTAATACTAACCGTTGCGACGGTATCCATTTCCTCTGTTTGTCCCATGCGTTTTAAATCCAACCAACATCTTTCGACGATATCAACCATTGCCACAAAGTTTTTACTGTCGCCGTCCTGAATGGGTTTGATGGATTTGATTTCATTAACGATAGTATCAACAAATTTTCTCGGGTCTCCATAAACACTGTCTAGTCTTTGAAACATCTTATCGTAGTCATCTTCCACTCCTTTGACAACGTCAAGTGCTGACCCGTGAAGACAAGATCTCAGAGCGTACGAATCTTTGCCATATGATTTGACCATTAATCTACCAAAATCTTGCTTGAAATTGGAATATTCCCTAATGTTTCCTGTGAAGCGAGGGGCTTCTAAGGCTTTGACATGAATTTGTGACGATTTAGAGCAATTTTCTGACACATGCGAGGCATACATACCCCTGATTTTGTCCAGCGATGATTCCACATCATTCATATAACTGTCACAGTCTTGAAGCAAGTCATCCATTGTATGATGCGGAGCAGTCTCGTTAATGAGCTCAATGAGAGAATCTTTCGCAGCATCCAATACCTTGAAGGCTTCATAAACGTCGTTAAATTTGTCCTGTATCACCAAAAATTGTTCTCCACGGTTACTAAGTTCCACAAAAGCATTGCATTTTCTTGTAAACTTACATTTGGCGTTAGTACGCGTTCGTTTTGCTCTTTCCAAAGGATCTTGATTTCGTTCTTGACATCCTTTCATTTTGTGCCTTCTTGTATTATTCTTAGCACTTAATATTTGGAAATTACTAACGTTACTTTACGTTAATTTATTGCTTGTAGATGAAATGTTTTGTCTGTTTCGCAAAATCACCAATGGAAAGACAAATCATAATAGCACTGAGACGTATAACTTTATTCATTCATATTTCTTCGTTTCGTATTGTAAAAGTTTCAAAGTTTCAAAGTAAAAGGTTTCATCCTGAAACAAACAAGCCGTCAGTAAGATAGGAAATCAACACCGCTTTTAATCAAGAAAGGATATAGAAAAATGTAAATGATCAAATATAACAACAAAATGATATAACTTACTACAGTGCCGAATATAACAAAATCCTATTCAAATATGAAATCAAGAAAACGATGCAAGAGAATTTGAATTTTTGGCTCAACGTCTCGTGACGGAGCGAAGACGAGCTGTCGTACGAATATTTGCTATACAGGGGGGGGGGGGGGGCATATGTTACCACTCTGTCGCGTTTTTTGCGTGTGAATAAAAAATCGCGGCGCCGCTTGGCATACCTTTTTGTACATCAATTTTGGACAATGTGTGAAATTTTTGACCCCAGGTCATGTTAGGTCAGGTCACCAGGTCAAGTTAACTGACCAAGCCTAAAAAAGTTTGCAATCATGTCCAGCCTGCAGTGTTTGTCAGAAAGGTTTTAAACTTGGTGGATTGCATGATGTTATGGGCGCCTACAATTTTTATATCTCGGATTTTTTTATATCCGTGACCTAAGGTCAGGTCAGTGGCGTGACCTTTCCATTACAAGTCAATGGAGAAAAATGAAAATGCCTCTAGATCCGTGTGTACTCATAGGAACAGTCCAAATATTTCAGAATCACAATGATTTGGACCGCCCGTGATGACCAAGGTGTCATTTTTGCTGATAGCCTCTAGAAAGGTCATCCGAGGTCATTTGAGGCTACAAACAGATTTTTGCCAATAACTCGCGAATGGAAAGAGATAGGACGCTGGGGATGGTCTCATTGTGGTTGTCTTGTTGAGACGCATCGACTGATATGCAACATGACCTTTTCCGGTCAGGTCATGACCTTGACCTGAGGTCAAATTTTGAAGTTGACCTTTCAAGGTCAAATTATAGTTCATTCGACGCGTCTCGGTGAGAGGAACACGATTCTGGCAATAGAAATGTCGTGGCTTTTTTTTAGTCAAAAGTTATTGTCGAAAAACACTTTTCTTAAAAACAGCTATTTTTGGAGTTTTTGCCCTCTGGAGGCTAAACCGTGACCTGAGGTCAATTTTGATTATGACTTTATCGCAAGAAGAGTTCAAAAGCTATCGATTGCTTTTCCATGCGTTTTTCTAGCTATCATAGTTCCTGAGATAAATTCATGTTTTCTGAAAGATATAATGACATTTGACAAATTTTAACCTTTGATGACCTTCAGTGACCCCAATATTGCTCTAAGATGAAAAATGACCGAAATACTTTCAAACGTACGCATTAAGAGCTATCGACTGCTTTTTACCGCGTCTTTCTAGCCCTCTATAGTTTTTGAGTTAGAGGTGGGTGGTAACATATGCCCCCCCCCCCCCACTAGGGCGAAGTTGGCTGAGACCGCCACTGGGGCGCAGGTTAAACAATCATTTCGCTAGTCAAGTGACGGTCGACTTAACCGGCACACACAGACATCCACTAAATCATGACTCAGACAAAACGCCGGTGCCCACTCTGGGTGAACTGATGACATCCGAGAGAGAGGTTCGCCAAATACTAAACTCACTCGATCCTAACAAAGCAACGGGACGCGGTGAAATTCTAGTAAAGTTATCAAGTTAACCGCTCTCATCATCGCAGAACCATTGTCCAAACTTTTCAACATGTCACTAAGTCAGGGAATTAACCCATCGAAATTTAAAGAAGCAAACATAAAACCAATTTTCAAAAACAAAGGATCACCTTCTGACTACACTTCTTACCGTCCCATCAGTATACTTTCATCGTTATCTAAAGTATTCGAAAAATTGTCTTCAAGGGTATATATTCCCATTTACTAAATCATTCTCTTTTGACCGACAAGCAGAGTGGGTACAGGCGTAGCCACAGTACAGAACAACAACTTTTATACCTGACTCACAACTTGTACAAATCACTGGACATGGGAAGAGACTTAATTGCTATCTACCTCGATATTTCTAAATACTTTGACAAGATCTGGCATGACGGACTGTTGTACGAGAGTAAGCACGACTTCGGAATTACTGACTCACTTTTCGACTGGTTAAAATCATATCTTTGTGACAGGACACACCAAGTACGGATCAACAGCACATTCTCGGCCACTAAAACAATAAATGCGGGCTGCCGGCGGGGATCCGTACTCGGGCCTTTGCTGGCACTTATGTATCTCGACGGACTTTCAAGACGAATAAAGAATGACTTTCTCTTTTTCGCTGACGACACATCTATCTACGCCTCGCACACGACAGCAGACATTGACGCCGTACAGTCTGTCTTAAAAGTACCGCGCAAAGTGCCGGTGGATCCATCAAGCCTGACTGAGGTAGGGCCTGCTATAATTTGAAAGTCACCGAACCAATTGACCCAGGGAATGGACGAGGATGTGAATTGCTTCGGTGACTCAAATTTAGTAGGCCCTTCCTCGGTCAGGCATGATGGATCCACCGTCACTTTGCGCGGTACTTTTAAGACGGACTGTACAGCTATCACTACAACAAGACCTCAACGAAATCCACAAATATGGTCGAGAATGGGCAATTACATTCAACGCTACGAAGACCATCCAACAAGCATTTTCACACAGACATCAGTATTCAGTACACACCACCAAAGCTCACTTTCGAGGGCGCAAACGTAGGGGAAGTTGGGGGAACGCCGAAGACTTTTTTCTGACGCCCGTAGCACGCAAGGTAGACAACATAAGCTATTCTTGTTGGCGTCATTCGAGAGGCCAGTCTTTTGCCTTTCAAACATACCAGGCGCATTTGATGAATTCGCATACCGTTAAGCGCACAAACTAAAAATATCAAAGAAGTGACTTTTTCGGCGTTGCCCCGGACTGCGGGGAAAGCCGAAAATGGGAGAAATGATCTACGGGGAATGCCGACATTGATGTTTTGCCATTTTATCTCAAACTTTATCCAGAATTGATCAAAGCTGACACGCGTTTTAAGAGCTTGAGGACGCGGTGCACACTGGAAGTTATAATGGGGTTGGGAACTCGATTTTTTAAGAATGCATGAAAATGATCAAACTATTTTCACAGAATTTATGGTGCATACCATTGCCTCATAAAATCAATAAGCTGAGAGAAATGGGGGAAGAAAGATAGGAAACTTGTTTTGAAAAGTTCTTGAAAAAAGATGCTCTTGATGCTGTTACGTCACATGTCACCTTCTGCGGTTGACAAATAATGGCGCATCTGGCGCACCACAGATTACATGTTATATCAATGGGTGAAAGATGTTGTTTGCTTCACTCTGCCATTCACGCTGTTTTTAACTTTAAATTATGCTAAAACATTTACGGATGAAATGTTCAGTGTCAAAAATTGATGTGTCTGCCGTGTACTATATTCCCACTTAACATGAGCGCGTGATAAACATTTTATGTACCTCGAATTTTCAAATGATAAAGATGATGAATCGGAGGATGCTGAAAAGCAAAAGCTCATTCCAATATTTGGACTACTTTACGATTAAAATGTTTACATTCCTGTCATCTTATTGATCATTTATTTGTTCTTTTTTATGAAAATAACTTAAGGCGTTGAGAACCGAGGTAATTTCTATCTACCGTGCCTTAACTTACCAGCAACAGCAATCTATCTACGCCCTACGGTGGCAAGGGAGACTGTGAAAGAAGCGTAAGATGGATTCTAAACAATTCTTTTGTGATATACTGAAGGGCAAAGTGCAGAGAAGAGCGTACAAGTCCTGTTTTGTGCCAGGCTGTTGCAGTAGCACTTATGAAACTCCGAAAACGATCTTCGTTCATGTCCCGAACAACATTACCCTGAGGAGATGATCGTCTGCAATAGCAGGAAGAGCTGATGCAAGTACTTTGAAATCCACTATCAAGTCGGTGCTATTGTTGTAATGATCACTGTGAGGTGAGATATTTTGTGCAAGGGCTGAGTGTAATGCCCAGGAAATGACCTCCATTCGCCCCCTGACCTGACCGGTCAGGGTTATAAAATTTGAGTGGATGGCGGTCCGTTTGGGGTTCAGATGTCAATTATATTTTGTTACTGTCAAACAATACATGTTATGCTGGCAGCGAATGTGTGTAACGTCGTTTTTCGAAGCAGAAGTTAGAACTGTAACGGCAGAGTGCTTGCTGGTCTCATCGTAAGTATTGTAAGTGTTGTAAGCAAAAGCATTGTCAATATTGTAAGTATTGTGAGCATTGATGTATGGTAGATATCACCTCACATGATCTCGGCTCAGATAACCCTCTCCGGTGTCCCTGTCAGTAAATGGCACCTGGATCATTACAGATAAGATAATTTGTCATAATTCTTAAAGAATTGGGTGGTTTTGACTCGTTTACTCGAGGTGCAGGTCGCATTTCAATACTTTTCCATAGGCTTGCAATGTAAAGGTCACGACTCTGACCTAACCTCAGGTCACAGATCAAAAATTCTGAGATATACAAACGACACATACTGCAGGTACTGTTTTGAAGACATGATGAGAGGAAATAACTTCGTGAAAAACTCAAGCTCTGACGTGTTTGCAAACTTTTCTGAGGTGGGGTCAACAAACCCGCTCTGGTTACCTGACCTGACCTGACCTGACCCAGCTTTTTTTTTGCTGAGATGTGCGCAATGAGCATTTAGGAAAAGTCACCAAATATGAGCTGAATGTCTCGCGGCGTTTGGCAATTGTACAAGAAAATCCTGAAAGGTCTCCCCGTCCGAAATAGGGTTAATGTGTATATGAAGAGTTGCAGATGCCAAACATACCCAGATCTAAGACTGCAGTTCCCAGCGCCGCTGCTGAACGTTTTTAAAACAAACATACATAGGACATACAAACATGTACATAGGATACATAGGATACATAGGATGACAGGCGAATAACCGCTCACGCAAGGAGCGGAGCTCCGCCCCGTCCAAAGTGGCCAACAAAGCAGAGACAGAGGCAGCATCACATCTTCCATCAAAGAACTGGTTTCTGGCTTGGAAGATGAGCTCCATCTTTGCATCCGAGTCGGTGCTGTCAGGAATCAGCTGGTCTAATGGAGTGAGAGTAGTGAGACGACTAGCTATTGTATCAGAGCTGCCTGGTCTTCGTAGCATTTGCACCGATTCTTCTCGATCGGACTCTGAATTCTGTTCCTCCTGCGTATTACTTGAGGCATTGCTATGTAGCTAAGTCTTTGGCAGAGTTTCATTATCCATGCTTTGCAAACAGTGCCATAACAACA